CTCTTTAAAGTAGAGACACTACATACTGATATACACCTGAACATCTGCAGGAGAGGACTCTTTAAAGTAGAGACACTACATACTGATATACACCTGAACATCAGCAGGAGAGGACTCTTTAAAGTAGAGACACTACATACTGATATACACCTGAACATCAGCAGGAGAGGACTCTTTAAAGTAGAGACACTACATACTGATATACACCTGAACATCAGCAGGAGAGGACTCTTTAAAGTAGAGACACTACATACTGATATACACCTGAACATCAGCAGGAGAGGACTCTTTAAAGTAGAGACACTACATACTGATATACACCTGAGCATCAGCAGGAGAGGACTCTTTAAAGTAGAGACACTACATACTGATATACACCTGAACATCAGCAGGAGAGGACTCTTTAAAGTAGAGACACTACATACTGATATACACCTGAACATCAGCAGGAGAGGACTCTTTAAAGTAGAGACACTACATACTGATATACACCTGAACATCAGCAGGAGAGGACTCTTTAAAGTAGAGAAAAACACCCATCTTGAATCAGTGAAAAACCCAGAGATTGAATATTTTATCACAAGAGGTGACCTTTAATGTCAGAGAGAAAGACTAAACAGAAGAATAAAGATTCCTGAAATATGCATCAGGTGTAAAAGATGAATAAAAAACCTCTGACAGGCTGTTGCTACTTCTTGAACATCTCAGGACGTGACGAGCTTGACGAAGGAGATGATTGTCCTTTCGATGTGGGATGATAAATGGCTTAGTGACTGGTAAATGGCTCTCTACCAGTCGGAGGGTCAGGGGTTTGATCCCCAGCATGTCAAGGTTTATGGGAATAGACAAGAAGCAATATGTGTTTCCCCAAATGAAGAGAGAGAAAGGGAGCCTAGCAAACAGAAGCTATCCTGTGATATTGCCAGCAGCCTGGTAATGGTAAAACGATTGAAGGGATGAAAATGGAAAATGGTTTCCTAACTTGTTGGTGTATTTAACCAGCAGGAGACCAGTGAGGTGTGATTGTTTGTTAGCACTTCACTTTAAAACAGTAAAGTTATTTAATAGTTTCCAAAGAGAAGTTAACTTAAAGTTATCGTGCTATTTTTAGGCAATAGCACAGGTCTCAGATATATACAAATATATAAAACATGTCTATGAAGTGTTTTGCTCAAAATACCAAACAGATCACCCATTCTAGCCATGCCTCATATCCCTCTATTTCACTTCCTGTTTCTAAAGTGATGATTTGGGTATAAAGCTTTAAAACAATAATAAATTGATACAAAATAAAGAAGGAGGGGTCTGAGCTCATGCGGGACCCGGCAGCTACTGTCTAAACTAAATGCTGCCGTGATGAAACGCCATATCATGGATTATCAAGGATCTGAAACAGTATGGAGCTCAAAGGCTTTCTCTCTTGCCGGTTATACCACAAGGTGAGTTCCTTTTTACTTCCTGCTTCTTCACACACATGCTCTCCAGTACAGGTTAGCTCTGAGTGTTAGCGATGCTAAGGTAAACACAGACCATATTACGTCCAAAACAGTCGGGCATTGTTTCTGATAGCAACGTTTCTGATTGGGCCGTGGGTCCACATTTCAGATATTACGTCATATCGGACGCAAATCTGGATCAGCTCCGTTGTTCCCCCGTTTTTTAGAGATTTGGGTACGGAGGAAAAGAGAGAGGGTTTTATTTTCTGACGCTGCGTGAGTTCCCCGACACACCGGGGACACATGTTGATGTAGAGAAGACATCAAAGAGTGCATTTTGCATGATAGGTCCCCTTTAAGTGATTCAAATTCATATTATTATTTCAAGATAAGGGTTGTAGTATAACCACCTGGGGATCATTAATGTATAAAGTGATTAAGGTGTCATTAACTGAATAATAATGAAGTAATTAAATATTTAAACAAATAAAAAAATTAAAGAATACAAATTTTAAATTGTAAAAATTTAAAATGTAATAAGAAATAAATATCTATCGAAAAAAGAAAATTAATGAAAAAAATCTAAAATTAAGTAAATAAAAAATCTAACGATTAAAAAAATCTATCATAAAAAAAATCTAAAATAAAGAAAATAGAAAATGTAATGATTAAAAAATTACTAAAAATGTTTTAATTGAATCAATAAAACATTCTCAAATATACAAAAGGTAACGATTACATTTTTTTAGAAATGTAAAATACATAAATAAATGAACCGTAGACATGAATCGCTTGATTGTTGTTACATTACATCACATGTTAGACGCTTTTATCCAAAGCGACTAACATACTCAACACTGTGGGCAATCCCCACAGGAGCACTTTGGGGAACCAACGCACAACCCACTGCGCCACACGCCTCCGTCATACACCCCAAACTTCCCTTGCCTTGACTTTATCAGTGTCGTCTTGGTGAAAAACTCACTTCTTTATCTATGTTTGAAGGTTAAGCCTCTGATGTTCTGAGAGTCGTCATAAGTAGAAGTTGTACAGAGAACAAACGTTTGTCCTTTAGGATGAAGCACGTCTCACCTTCATTATATCATATTGTTTAAAAGATCTTCTCTTCCTCTCTGAACCCCAGGAGGCGGCTGCAGGCTGGACTAAAAGAAACTTCCGGATAAATTAAACTCAGAAATCTTTTGATGAAGTACAAATATTGTAACTCCCCGATGCACCGGGAAGTGTTTGTGTGCAGCTTTAAGGATATTCAGTTTCATCACTGCTGTAATTCCCTTCAGCAAGGCATTTACCCAGTGATGTGATAAAGTACCTATTTAAGTACAATTTCAAGGTACTTTACTTGAATATTTACTTTTTTAATACTAGTAAATACTTCTACTCCCCTTCCTTGTGAAGCAAAAGTTATACTTTGTACCCCTCTATGTTTATTTAACACTGTTACGTTCCCTAATAGTCTAAGGCAGGGGGGTCAAACTCAATCACACAGGGGGCCAACATTAAAAAATGGGTGCTAGTCGAGGGCCGGACTGGTTCAATGTTTATTGCAGAACGTATTGAAATGAACTTATTGCACATATTAAACCTGGAACTAACAAAGCTTCAATGATTGCCAATAAAAACAACATTAAATAATCAGGTGCATTCATTTCTTATGGCTCTATCTGCAGCTTTTCCAGAGTCATTTCTTATGAGTACATTTTCCCACAGGCCAACAACAGCTTCAACAAAACTATTCCCCTCAAAGAGAAAACCAAACATGCCCTGTTGTCGTGAGAGAAAGTGCAGAAGGAAACATCCATTAAACTCAGTGTGCTGCTGTGATGCTAGTTCAGATACTTGGCATCTCATCTTGGGTGCAAGGTCATCAATGTTTGGGCTCAGGCTCTGAGCGGAGGAGACCCTCAGGATGGAGTGAAGGTGTGCGTGCAATATACCGGAGGGCCGAAATTAAATCCACCACGGGCCTGATTTGGCCCCCGGACCTTGAGTTTGACACATGTGGTCTAGGGTAAAGTTCATATGATTTTAAAATGGACCACTGTGAATGATAAATACTTATATTGTGAGTACTTTAAGTATATTTTAATGCTTTTGTTCTACTTAATTTTGTATGCAGCGCTTTACCTTTACAGAGTATTTTGAACACTGTAGTATTGAGTACTTCTTCCCCCTCTGTGTACCGGTATAAGGCTCATGTGTGTCAGGGCTGATTGTTAGGATGTCAGTCCACATGTTGACAGCAGAGGGCAGCACTGATGAGCTGTTGATATTACATTCAAATTTAAAAAGCTTTATTCCAAGGACAATAAAGTCATACAGTATTGCCAATGATATTTGTCCTGTCTTTGAACATGTAGATTTAAAATGTAATGAAACATGTGGAAAACTGAAATGTGTGTGTGTGTGTGTGTGTGTGTGTGTGTGTGTGTGTGTGTGTGTGTGTGTGTATGTGTGTGTGAGAGACAGATGATAATGTCTAATGACTGTAACATATGTTTTCACACTACTCCCCCTACTGTCAATACATGACAAATGTTGCTTTGACACACACACACACACACACACACACACACACACACACACACACACACACACACACACACACACACACACACACACACACACACACACACACACTCAACTTACATGATTCTTCACAGACTGTAGTTCAGAGTTCTTAACCTTTGACCCTTTCCTGCTGACCTGATGATTACTTTCCAACATGTCCTCACCACATCACACACACACACACACACACACACACACACACACACACACACACACACACACACACACACACACACACACACACACACACACACACACACACACACACACACACACACACACACACACACACACTGCTCTGTGCCTTTGAGGTCAACAGGTGCCAGCAGCCTATGAGCTCGACCAGCTGTTTTTTACGACACATCTGGTGTAATACCTTATTCTGTCCAGCAGAGTGCAGTCCCACGTGTGTGTGTGTGTGTGTGGCCTAGCATTACTATACTTGTGGGGACCTAAATCTGTTTACATAGTCACGTGTGGGGACTCGCCTCCCTTATGGGGACAAAATGGAGGTCCCCATGAGGGGATCATTAATTTTAGGGTGAAGACTTGGTTAGGGTAAGTCTCCAGGAAATGCATGTAAGTAAATGTAATTGTGTGTGTGTGTGTGTGTGTGTGTGTGTGTGTGTGTGTGTGTGTGTGTGTGTGTGTGTGTATGTGTTGGAAGGTATGAAAGGGATAACACCGTGAATGTATGAGCAGGAAAGTGATCAAAGAAAGGAAATACGTTTTAAAGGAGAAGAAAGAAAAGAAAAACAATCTAAGAAAGTTAAGGAATGGAAATGAAAGGAAGGAAAGGAATGGAAAAGGAAAATCAGGAATGCAAAGATAAGACCAAAAATCAAATAGGAGAAAGTCGAAGAAGACAACATGGATATTTCTAAGTTGGGTATATTTGATAAAACCAGATAAGAAATGTGGAAAGAGACAGAACACGAAGTAAAACACAGAGTCAGGAACGACGAGGTCTTCTCTCTTTAACAAACATCTCTTTATTTTGTCTCTACACCATTCAATAAATACAAAATACAAACCAGCTTCATATTCATAAACAACAATGACCGTAACAAATATGACTTATTTAGAAACAGAAATGGGAACAACCAAAGCGATGAGAGTGAGGCGAAGCTCCAATGAAACTGGAATAACATCAGGATGAGCCGGTTACAGTTTCTACTCACCCTGATGTCAAGAGAGCTGCAGCAGGAACGGAAGCATGTGCTTTCCTTTAGGAAGAAGCACTGAGTCTGATTTAATGGCTTGTTATCTCCTTATAACGGCACTGTTGCCAAGACAATGTTGCAAAATTCCTTAATTGGTAAAAAAGGTGGGAAAATGTGTTTAATTTTGTTGCTAATTATTTATTTAATTGTTAGGATCCTTTTTCTAAGATACCACTGTACTAGCATGTTTAAAAAGCATCAATTATGGTTTCTTTCTTAAGGTGTGTTTTCATTTCTCTACTCTGAACACAAGCTATATATAGTGTGAGGAAGCAGGTACGTTACCATAACAGTCATTACTTTTTTTGGGGGGGGCTAGAAGTGTATTTAATCCATATGAGTGGTATTCAGAATAAGGGGTAAGGGTGCCTCGTGTGGTCTACATGAGTATTACAGCAACACACCAAGAGAATAACTTTTAGCTTGCTTTAACTAAATTATATATTTGTTCACCTTGCAAAACATTCTCTCTTTTCAACAACATCAGAAAATATTAGAAACTTAAAATGATAAACAATTAAATCAGACTTTTTTTTTACTGTATGGCCTCTCAGGGCTTCCGTAGAGTTTAACCCTGTTTTGCCATTTTCTGTATTTCTCTGTCTTTGGTTAGTCTTCTTCTTTACTGGCAAACAAACAAACACACACTCACACACACACACCACACACACACACACACAACACACACACACACACACACACACACACACACACACACACACACACACACACCACACACACACACACACACACTCACACACACACACACACACACACACACACACACACACACACACACACACACACACACACACACACACACACACACACACACACACACACACACACATACACACATATAAGCAACACGTATCGTCTCTCTCCAGTGAGAGGCTTTATGGCTGAACTTCGAAGAGAAGCCCTGTCGATGAAATCCGACCAAAGTTGGACTCCCGAAAAAACTGAGCAAAAATGCGAAGCAGGAAAGGCGTGTAAAGTCTGGGTTGCTCCTCTTCGTAGCTTCGTCTTCATTTAAAGAGTCTTTGGACGTTTTTTTAATATTATTATCTCTGCTATTTTCTGCTCGTTACAATCCTGAAGCTGATAACAGGGTGGGTGAGGGGGGGGGGGGTCCCAGTGTGCAGTTCTGGGTTCAGGTCCATCAGTGGGATTGATGGGAAGGGTTTAAATGGAGAGGAGTTGTTTTGGAGTCTCCTCACAGATTCAGTGTCTCCAGTTTCGTCTTTTGTCCGGAGCTTTTGTCATCAGGACTTCTTCCTCTTTGGAGTCTGTGAAGAAGAACAACAAGAAATATGTATTTAGGACACAAGAAGGAGTTTATGCAGATTAAATAAAGCAGGTTAGCTCTCAAACATGACTTTTTAAACAAACAGTATGTCCTTTTCTGCCACAAGGGTTTATGTTATCAAAAACATGATGACAGCATACTTAAAGGAGATTAAGCAGATTTCTCTAGATTTCAATATTTGAAACATTTTGAATGTTGTAATGCGTAAATGTGTGTGTGTGTGTGTGTGTGTGTGTGTGTGTGTGTGTGTGTGTGTGTGTGTGTGTGTGTGTGTGTGTGTTTAGTACGTGTGATACTTAAAGGAGATCAAATAGATATCTCTAGCATTGAACATTGGAAACATTTGGGATAATGTAGCTACACCTCTTTTTAAAAAATAACATAAGTGTAGTTGTTTTAGACGTTTTAGTGTGTGTGTGTGTGTGTGTGTGTGTGTGTGTGTGTGTGTGTGTGTGTGTGTGTGTGTGTGTGTGTGTGTGTGTGTGTGTGTGTGTGTGTGTGATGCTCACCGAGGCACTCAGGACAGCAGACCCCCTCCTTGCGGATGAAGTCGGTGCAGCTCAGAGCGGGACACTGCTTCCTCTGACATTTAGTCACTCCGTGCTGAGCACAACCACAGAGGAGAGGAGGGTCAGTGAAATGCAATGTCTTCATTCTCAGAACCCACAACTTTACCTATAAAATATAAAAGTGGTATTTAATAGTCATTTCCCATCAGCCCCAGTACTCACGTCACACCAGCAGTTGATGCACTTCATCTCCCCCACCAGAGGCACCCAGGGGTGCCAGTTGTCGCTGTTCTGGTAGAAGCTCTTCCCGAACTTGCAGTGCCGGGGTCCGTCGGCCTGCATCATGTCGCTGTGCTCCAGCCCCACTGCTCCTGGGGGGGTGCCCTCCTCCTCCTCAGGACACTCCTTACAGCAGTCCGAGGGGTTCCTCCTCACAGGGTGGGAGCAGCTGAGCACCGGACACGTCACCTTCTCACAGTGCACCTCTCCAGAAGAGCCCTGAGGGGGAACGTAGGAACGTAGCAGCTTGTTATCATGACATACTGAAGCTGGTTTATTGCTTTTTCTACATTATTAAGTATTTACCCAATAGAATACTTGAGAAATGCAAACATCGCAAAACATTGTAATATACGTGTTATATTTTAATTTTATTGGACATTTTAATTTAATTTAATTTTTTCTTGAACATCTTATGTTTATAAATATTTCTGTTTCATATGATTTATTCTTTTCATTGGACATTTTACTTCAACTTATGTTTGAATACAAAAAATGGTATTATATTTAATAACGTTTTTTATTTGACATTTTAATTTAATTTCTTATTTTTATATATATATATATATTTTTTAATTATTTTACTGCACTTTTTCTTGAACGTCTTAAAATAAAATAAATATTTCAATTTTATTGTATTTAAACCTTTCATTGGATATTTTACTTTAACTTCTTATGTTTAAATATAACACTTTTTATTCGATTTAATTCGATTTTTATTTGACATTTTAATGTATTTTCTTATATTTATATGAATATTTATCCTTTAATTCATGTTGTCTTTTTACTGGACTTTTCCCTCTAACTATATATATATATTTTGTTATTGTATTCTTAAACACAAACAAACCCACTTTCTTCTGGTCTGAAAACATGAGGTCATCTTGTTGATGGACTGATTCCTGCCCTAGCGTCTTTGCAGCCTTGTAAAAGATCAACGAAGCATTAAGGGTTCCTGGAAAGTCAAACCCCTCCAGATGTGAGTGTGTATTTACCTTGCAAGTGCACACGGCACATTTAATATATCCAAAGGGCGGCACGAAGGGATGCCATGTTGTTCCTGGAGCGTGCATCTTCTGGTCTCCTTCAAAGTAGCAACCTGACAGAAAGAGCGGGAAAAACGGTTACAGTCAGAAAGAAAAGTAGTTTGAACTTTAGAGAGAAATAAATTGGGCTGCATATTAAACGTTAGAGGTATTGAAATGCAATCCCTTTTCATTTTAGCACTAAATCACACATGGAGGATTTGGGCCACATGTGGAAAGTATATGTTTTAAAGGTTTCCTATCAGGCTATTTTTAGGCATATATTATGGCTCTCAGATATATACAAATATACACAAACATGTCTATGATGGGTCTTGCTCATAAACAGATCATGCATTTGAGTAGGGATGGGTATCATTAAGGTTTTAACGGTACTACTACTTTTATCGATACCGCTTATCGGTCCGGTCTTTGAACGGTTCTTTTGGAGAACAGAATAAGGTAAACTAACAAACAAATTGTGAACAAAACTAACATTGCTTTTTATTTAAATAAAATAATATTTCACATCAAAAGAAACAACAATGTTTTAACAAATCGTATTAAATAATCTGATGACAGAACTGTGAACAGAATAGCTGAAACTTTAACTAAATAACTCAGTTTCCTCTAATCATTAACCCATGTTTGTATAATGTAGTTAACTCCGTGTGTTGCTGCTAGCATACATAACACCTGACGTGGAAACGTTACTCGTGGACGGGGCTACAGAGCTACTAGAAAGACAGTGGAACCCGGTGCATTCCTCCGTCTGGATGTGGAGCACTTTTGATAAATGTTTAGACACATTGCTCGTGTTACCGCCCTTACATGATAAACTCTTATTGCACTTTTGGTAACGAGCATCGAGACGGGTAAAGTTTAACCACACCTTGGAGCGCGTTCTCTCTGGATTGGAAAGATCGAAAATACTAAAAATACATCATAGACGCATTGTGTAGTCTTTTTGCGTATTAGAAACGGAGTTGGCGAAACTAAAACTGCAATATAATGTTTGTGTAGCAATAATACACATGACATATCTTTTTTACATGTCTCCAGTACCGATAAGAAGACCGATAACGTCGGAGCTTAACGGAACCACGGTCTTTAATAATCCCGTTGAATACCGGGGCTCGGTACCCATCCCTACATTTTAGACATCGCTCATACCCCTCTATTGAAGCCCTGTTAGAAAAACCCTGATTTTGGGTCCTTAGAATGAAAACAATGTAAATGACGTCATATCGGACGCACATCTGGATCAGCTCCGTTGTTCCCCCGTTTTTAGAGATTTGGGTACGGAGGAAAAGAGAGAGGGTTTTATTTCCTTACACTTTGTGAGTCTCCTGACACCAGGGACACATCTTGGTGTATATCAGCAAGTGCATTTTGCATGAGAACTTTAAACTACATTCAGAATTGTTTATGAGATTGAAATGTATTATAAAGAGCTATTTTATGTCTGATTTAGGCATTGAACTCGTGTAAAACAGTCCAGACATGGAGAAAGAAACGACGCAGTACAAGAGGAGAGAATCGGAGAGGTGGACCTACCCTCAGGATGCTCCTCCACCTTCTCAGGATCCGTCACGTCTTTGCTCTCTGAACAGGAAGAAGAAGAATTAGCTTTCAACATCTGCGGAGAATCGGCCCCAAAACGTGGCTCACACCGAGCAGCTCCAAGCATCTCAAGGACTACAAGCTAGATATCTTCTCACCGTCACAGACTGGGCAGCACTGGTCCTCGGGCTGGAGGGTTTTGGAGCAGGTCAACACCGGGCAGATGACGGGGTCACAGATGACAGTTCGCTTCTGCAGGAAGAAAGCACGAGGAGTCGGTTCAATGTGCGACGTAGGATGACAAACCATATTCAGACGTAACCGAGGGGCGTAAACAAACGATTCTTCCTTCTCTTGTAATGCGTTTGGATTTAGTGCCAAATAAATGCATCCTGATCAACTAAACCAGAACTAGCACGGGGACCAGATCCTGGTCACTACGTGGAAATTCACGAACTTCAGAGGTTGGACATTCCTCGATAAGCAGGATCAACATTTTCCTTAATCTTAGCAGTGTGAGGTTTTGATCCAAGCTCAAAGCTGTTAATAAGTAACTTTAAGTGTTTTCGGGTCAGAGACTAAGTATTTAGCTTCCCGTTAGGTGCTCAGTTTATCCAAACAAAGCCTGTCTTTCAATTGTCGTGCAACATTTTCACTTTTAAACCGGCATGGTTACAGACGAAGCGTGCAAAATGATGTGTCTGGACATCTGGACGTTTTATATACATCAGTGTCTTGTTAGCAAATACATTTATTTACTGCCTTTTTGCAGTGTTGGAATTTAAGTACATCTACCAAAGCACTTAAGTACACATGTAAAGTACTTAATTCTGAAATGGGTGATACGTTGGTACTTTAAGTATTTTTTATGCAGGATTTCTTCTTGTACCTGAGTGTTTTTAGACTGTAGTATTGATACTTTTACCTATAAGTAAAATACCTCAGTACTTTTTCCATTATCTTCTACATCTACCAAAGCACTTAAGTACACATGTAAAGTACTTAATTCTGAAATGGGTTATATGTTGGTACTTAAGGTATT